CCCGCATCGGGCTCTCTGCTCGGCGGGAAGCCTGCTTCTCCCTCTCCCACTCCCCCTGCTTGTGTTCCCTCTCTCGCTGTCTCTCTCTCTGTTGGAAAAAAATAAATAAAAATATTTTTAAAAAACTTAGGAAATGAATCTGAGGTTAATACCTAAAATTATTTTAGAGCTTAGAGTTTTAAACTTGTAATCATTCATGTCCTTTAATATTACATACTGTCTAGTCATTTTTTTACCTTAAAAATTTATTTTATTATGAAAGTAATAAATTTATGCTAAGTAAGGGAAATTTAGAAAACATAAAAAGAGGCAAAAACCATGTTTGCTAGTCAAGTTTCTTAGTTGTAAACTATAGTAGTCAACTGTGACTAATTCAGTCAAAAAATCAACTTACTGAAGAGGTATTTGGTAACACAGAAGTTTAATTGGGACCATTATAGGACCCAGTTCAGAAAATAGGATTGAGCCAATGGTGGCTAGTTGTCCAGTTATTAACCAAGGTTATACTATATTGTTGTAGATTCTGACCCTGTTACCACAGTGAATTCTAAAATGTAGAGTCCAGACTGGAGCTGCCAGTCAGTTGAGCACCACTGAAGATCAGAGAAAATAAGTAATTGGTTCTTTTGGCTTCTTTACTCTCCAAACTTCACTCTCCAAGAAGTGGGTTCAAAATCTCGACAGGAAAAAAAATATTCACTAAATTCATAATCCCACTACTCATAGATGGTCACTGATGACAACTTGGTCTCTGCAAGACTCTCCAGTTCAGTGATTTGCTAGGAGGATTCACAGCATTTAATTGTGCTCATGGCTATGGTGTATTACATTGAAAGGATATAATGCAAAAATCAGGAAAGAGAAAAGGCACATAGGGTGAGGTCCAGAGCCAACCAAGGACCAGCTTCCTTTCCTAGTGTAGTTACTCAGGACACACTTAATTCTCCTAGCAATGAATTGTGACATGTGTGAAAGGCTGTCTACCAGGGAAACTCATTAGAGGCTCACTACATGGTGTGTTTATCTGAGGCTGGTTACTTAGGCATTCTGTCCATGTACCAGAGGAAGGCAGGCGTTCAGCATAAACCATACTGTTTAGGTAGTAGTTTAGGCACAGTGAGCCACCCCTATCAAGGAATGATAGGAACCCCCCAAAATCTAAGTTCCCAGATGGCAAGTCAAGGGTGAACCTCGCAGGTTGTCCTTTTCTAAGTATCAGGCCTGCTATGATAACTCTTCCTCACTCGGTATGTTTGTATATTTTATAAATATATGTCATCCTCTATGTTTTGTGGCTTGCTTGCTTTATTTTACATGCAAACTTTTTGAAACTTAAAATTTATCTATATTGGGGCGCCTGGGTGGCTCAGTTGGTTAAACGACTGCCTTCGGCTCAGGTCATGATCCTGGAGTCCCAGGATCGAGTCCCACATCGGACTCCCGGCTCAGCAGGGAGCCTGCTTCTCCCTCTGACCCTCCCCCCTCTCATGTGCTCTCTCTCTCTCAAATAAATAAAATCTTTAAAAAAAAAAAAATTTATCTATATTAAGAGGTCAGCGAACTATGACCTTGGACCAAATCTGGCCAGTAGCCTGTTTCTGTATCTCTTTTACATTTTTAGAGTTTTAAAAGAAAAAACCAAGAATATAACAGAGACTACATGGTCCCAAAAGCCTAGAATATTTGCTGTGTGGTCGTTTGTAGAAAACGTTTGCTAACCTCTGATATATAACATGAGTTTTTCAAAATTGAGATATAATTCATGTACCATAAAATTCACCGTATAAAGTATAAAATTCAGTGGTTTTTAGTGTTTCCAAAGTTGTGCTATCATCATCTCTTTCTAATTCCACAACACTTTCATCATCCCAAAAAGAAACCCTTCACCTCTTAGCTGTCATCCCATTGATCTCCCCAGGCCCTCCAGCTCTAGGCAAATACTAATCTACCTTCTTTCCTTATGGATTTGCCTGTTCCGGACATTGCATATGAATTGTGTTATCCAGTACGTGGCCTTTTGTGTCCGACTTCTTTCATTTAGCAAAATGTTTTTGAGGTTCATCTGTATTGTAGCATGGTCAGTATTTCATTGCTTTTTATTGGTGTAGAATATGCCATTATATGGCTAATACCACATTTTATTTATCCATTGATCAGCTGATAGATATTGGGGTTATTTACACTTTTGGGCTGTTTGGTATAGTATGTGTTTTTAATGTCTGCAAGACATTAACTTCATATGGGTGTGCTACCATTTGCTAATAAACTAGTCGTCTCCTGTTTTACTATATTATAGATAGCACCACTTTTAACATACTTGTATGTACATTTCTGGTTATTTACTTAGAATACATTTCTAGAAGTAGAATTGCTGAGTCAGAGGATATACATACAATATTAAAGCTTTTGGATATATTTTATGTTTTGTTTGTTTTAGTGAACTCCATTTAGCAACTACATGGCCTCACCTGACAGAAGGTATCATTGTGGATAATGATGTTTATTCGTAAGTATGTTAAGAGTAGTATATTGAGATTCAAACATTACAGTAGAATAAATTAACTGCCAAGTGGTTAGCAACTTTCCTTTTTCTATCAGTTTCTGATTAGGTTGGTTGATTTTTTACTTTTAAAGGTCGCTTTTTAGGCTGATTAGATATGTATTAGAGATGTATTTTAAGCTGTTGACCTTGGGGATGTGATCTTTAGTTCAGGGATAATGAACGGTCTCCCTTTTTTTAAGTTTTTGTTTTTAGTCCAGTTAGTTAACATATAGTGTTATATTAGTTTTAAGTGTACAACGTAGTAATTCCACACTTCCATACATGACCCTGTGCTTATCTCAAGTGCACTCCTTAATTTCTATCACCTATTTAACCCGTCCCCCCTACCCTGAATGACCTCAGTCTTACTTTGTTTTAGCAAAGATGTCTTCAAGAGGGATATAGTGCATAATTCTGTTGAACTTTTCTTAGCTAGTTAGAAGCAGTTCATGAAATACTTTGAAGAGGTGATGGTCATTAGAATGTGTGGGAGTAATATTTGAACATTAAATGTCATAAATAATGAAACTTCCCAGTCATATACTCTTGTGCAATGGAAACAACTCAAAAATTATAGCAAACATTAGGAAGAATGTGGAGAGAGAGGAGCACGATTTTAGTATCTCTCATGCATGATGCAGAACAGTGAGAAATAGGACACTTTTTTGTTGTAATTAAAATAAATGGGTTGTATTTGCTGATGATAAAAGTAACATAAGCTTTCTTAATCAGAAAATAAATAGGTTGTATTTGTTGATGATAAAAGTAACATGAGCTTTCTTAATCACATAATTTAGATGGCTATAAAGAAGAAAATAAGGACTACATGCAATCCTGTTACTTAAAAAATAGCCAGTTAGCATTTGGGTTGTATACTTTTTTGTTTTTAAATTGAGATGTAATTGGCATGTAACATTATATTAGTTTCACATGTACAACATAATGAATCAGTATTTTTATGGGAGCGTATATTTTTAAAGTTTAAATTTGTATATTTGCTTTATTTAGTATGTATCTTTACATATTATATGCCCATAAATAAAGATCTGTGTTGTTATTTTTAAAATTGCTGCATAATCCATTAAGTGGATGTGTAATAATCTATTTAATTGAGAAAATAGGGCACATTTGATCTTGTGCAAATTTTTGTAGTCTCTGTTTTTACTATTAGTGTTGTAAAAAAACTAAGATCATTTCTTTATTATTTCTAAAATTAATTGTTTTATTAGATTATCTGTGTACATTGCCTGTTCAGAATAATTTTTTTTTTTTTAAAGATTTTATTTATTTGACAGAGAGACACAGCGAGAGAGGGAACACAAGCAGAGGGAGTAGGAGAGGGAGAAGCAGGCTTCCCGCTGAGCAGGGAGCCCGATGCGGGGCTCGATCCCAGGACCCTGGGATCATGACCTGAG